ACCTTTGGCTTCTCGGTCGGTATGGTATCAATTAAAACCTGCATTAGTCTCACCTGCATATTTAGTTGAAGTTATTTTTGTTTTTAATATAAAGGAGGAGTTTTACCTATAATATTTATTTATGAATTTCAGCTGTAGTAGCTGGTGTAATAGCTGTGGGTCTGGGCCTGCTGGTAGAGAAGTTGGGCAGCATCTACAACGTATCTAACAGCATCTTATCTGCCGTTGCCGGTCCTTTTGCTGGCATCTTCTTTACGGGAATTTGTGCACCATGGGTTAACGCCAAGGTAAACACGACCTATGGATATAGTTTCTTGTTTCCTATTGCAAAAATAAAACAAACAATATACAACGTGGTGGGCTGGTAGCAGTGATCTCTACATAAAGAAATAAACCTATGGCTATTATGGGTAAATAAGGTAAAAATGTAATAATCATAAAGTTTCTGTTGGTCAGTAAAATCACTTCCTGTCACTGCAGGGCAGCATGGTGGGCTTCCTCCTGGCATTCTTCTTCAACGTTTGGGTAGTTGTTGGGAAGTTTGTGCGTGGTGGTGGGAAGGTTCCACGCCTGCCACTCTCAACCAAAGGCTGCCCCGGCAACCTCGCCAATGCCACATTATGCAGCTTACTCACCAACACTACCGAGGTTCTGCCATTCAACACTCCAGTGACTGATGCTGTATTGTTCAACACCACAGAGATTAATGTTGGGTTGTGCAACACCACATTGGCTGATGCTGTAATGTCCAACACCACCATGACTGCTCTGTTGTCCAACTCCACCATTGTCCAAGAGTCAGTACCAACAAACCACCTTACTCTTTTTTTCTGTCCTGCTAACATTACACTCATTACCACAAGGAGTGGAGAACAACAACTCAGAGACACACTTGTCTTTCTGCTCTCCAGGTAACTGCCCATCACACGAGCTCTAGCATGTTTTCGACGCTCTTGGGTGGTCGTCAGAGGTAAACAACAGGAGACACTCCCTGAAAACATTATCATTTTAATTTTTTCAATAAAGAAAATATTCTAGATAATTTTGATAAACTCTATACTTGTACACACTCACAAACGCAACAATTTATCTGATTCTTTTTAACACAACCTCATGAAACACGTTTTATGACAACAAATTTTGGAGGATAGACAAGACTGATAGTTCGTCTATAATTTCTTAAATACCCAAACAACATGTATTCCCATATTTTACTTCATTTTAAAGTTATCTTTCTAATATAACTTATCATTCACTTTCTCTCTTCCACTCTATAGTTTTACAAATCTCCCGCCATGCCCCGTCCTCCTTCAGTATCGATGTTTGAACAATTCGTTTCACATGAAGTATAAGTTTGTACAAATCAGGTAGACCTTGATAATAGAAGGGATAACAGGACACATACAGAAATAGACAATAGATCACTTTTATTTTGGAAAGTAACAAGTTATCTGTGGCTCCTCATTATCATGCAGTGTTGAGCTCTGCATTAATGCTTAGAATGAAAATAAGAACATAAGAATGGAGGAAAATGCAGCGGGCCTATTAGCCCATACTAGGCAGTCCCATTTGCACCCAACCACTATCGCTCATACATTCATCCAACCTATGTTCGAAGCTTCCCAGCGTATTCGAATTAATAAAGATGTTTAGTAACTTGGTCCATTCACCCACTTCTCTGTTTCCAAACAAATGTTTACCTATCACGCACCTAAATGTAATTTGTTTAATTTAAAGCAACTTTTACGAGTCCACTCCTGGCTGGAAAGCTTGAGTACTTTTGTCATATCGCCTTTGTTTAGCCCTGCCTTCCATTCATACACCTCTATCATATCGCCTCCCACTCTACATCTCTCGAGGGAGTGCAAATTAAGATGCTTTAACCTGTCTCTGTACTCAAGGTGTTCCTAATGCCAGGGATTAGTCTTGTCAAACTCCTCTGAATTATTTATCGGGATTCCATATCCATTCTGCAATACGGTGACCAGAATTGAACTGCTTAATACAAGTGAGGTCTGTTACGCCGTCTCTTTCAGGAAGTAGGCCCTTGCGGCTGAAGGAGACGT